TCCGTAGATAACCTTACTATTAACTATGTAATTACTATAACTTACGTCTATAGGACGTGTACTCCTAGTTAGTCTATAGTAATAAATTAAGTACTAGTTATTATATATATATATATATATATATATATATAACCAAATAATTAGATAGAGATTACACAGAGTATTAGTGTGATGGAGTTTTACAGTAAATTCATACTACACTTTTACATCGAAAATAATTTATATATTCACTAGTGCTAACTAAACAATTTTCCTTAACTTCTGTACCTAAGAAGGCTACATACAAAACTTTCCTAAACTTCTGTACCTAGGAAGGCTACATACAAAACTTTCCTAAACTTCTATACCTATGAAGGCTAAATACAAACTTTCCTGAACTTCTGTACCTATGAAGGTTAAATACAAAATTTCCTAAACTTCTATACCTGAGAAGGCTACATCAAAACATTCCTGAATTTCTGTACCTGAGAAGGCTAAATACACAACTTTCCTAAACTTCTGTACCTGAGAAGGCTAAATACACAACTTTCCTAAACTTCTGCACCTAAAAAGGCTAAATACACAACTTTCCTGAACTTCTGTACTTTAGAAGGCTAAATACACAATTTTCCTAACTTCTGTACCTGAGAAGGCTAAATACACAACTTTCCTAAACTTCTGTACCTGAGAAGGCTAAATACACAACTTTCTTGAACTTTTGTACTTTAGAAGACTACACACACAACTTTCCTGAAGTTTTGTACTTTAGAAGGCTACTTACACAACTTTCCTGAACTTCTGTACTTTAGAAGGCTAGATACAAACTTTCCTAAGCTTCTGTACCTGAGAAGGCTAAATACAAACTTTCCTAAACTTCTGTACCTAAGAAGGCTAAATACAAACTTTCCTAAACTTCTGCACCTAAGAAGGCTAAATACACAACTTTCCTAAACTTCTGCACCTGAGAAGGCTAAATACACAACTTTCTTGAACTTTTGTACTTTAGAAGGCTAAATACACAACTTTCCTAAACTTCTGCACCTGAGAAGGCTAAATACACAACTTTCTTGAACTTTTGTACTTTA